ATAATCACGCCCCGCTAATGGCGGACTTCAAAGTGTAAGTAATCTCATTCCTAGCTTTTATCGGAGAACAGTTCAAGGCCGACTTGCAAGGGGTAATCGCCGGTCTGCTTATATACAAACGTGGCACTGCTCCCATGCGATTCAACAAGGGTGATATACCATATGTCAAAACTTTTTCTCACCAACGAGGCACTGAAGGTCGATGTTGTAATCATGACTGCATCATTTGGTGACAGTTACGCTAATAGGTTATTAAAAAGACCGAGGAATCCGAAGTTGTCAGCCCTTACGGTAGCTTCAACGCTTCCACACAGCCATCTGGTCGTTTCTAGGCGAAAAAGCTCTTGATATTACCTACAAGATGTTTGTCACCAAGTTCATTAGGCTAGTGGTAGATGCGTCGGTAACTAGTCTTTCGACGGAAGCAAACTTAGTCTTTCCTGATGATTCGGACTGGAAAATGCTTGACCTAGAGACTCAGCCTGGGACGTTTAGAAAAGATCGAATATATTGTTTCAACCTCGTCCGCAACTACAAATACAAACATCAACAGGACTTAGCGATGTGATCCAACACCGATCCTCAAACTCTGTACACTCACGTCAATTAGCTGCGGAGCGTTAGGCCCGGAATTCCAATGCTATGCGCACCAGATGGTTCAGTACCAATTGCACAAGCGGTGTCCATTGCGCTTCGGTAACTGTTTATCCAGATTTCCAGAGTGATCGTCACCTCACTAGCCTTTGACACAACTCACACTGACCCCAGGTTTAAACAACGTATCATTTATTATGCGAGCACAACTCTCCTACCGTGGACGACATGCGGCCGAAAGCACCACAGCTAAGCACCACGAACATTTTTAACTCTTTAGCTCGGTTCTTCCATCGAACTCTTGAAACGCATGATTTTGCTAGGTTGCAATATAGAATAATCATGCATGTTTACTTTATCGATGGGCGTTCTGAGCCCATGAACTGCTTTCCAACAACTTTGCTCCCTTGCTGTCTAGAGCTATGTAGTACGTTATCGTTGTGGCGCTCGTGAAATGTGTTGACAGTAACCTCATTGTGGTGTCACAGCAGTGCCGAATCTGTCAACATCGGTTCCGCACGGCAATCATGGTGCTAATCAATACAAGCCGGACTGAGTCAGTAGATACTTGAGTAGGATTTGACGTCGTGCACGAGAACTTCTCAAAATCTTTGATTACCTGGACCATTGCATCTCCCTCACAATCTAAACTATGGACTCGGTGGCCTTGTGCTCGGTTCGATAAGCGGCTTACTTATTCAACCTCAGCTGAAAATGAGAGTCCGAAGCTCAGTTTCCGACCCACCTGACTTGCAGTGTGGCGTACCCCAACGATGGACACTGGAAACACGTCGATACTAATATACAGTAGCTATCTTGCTAGTGTGTTTCAGTCGGACTTCCTACTATTTGCAGATGATGTTAAGAGTTGGTATGACAGCAAGAGAGTGGACGATCGCAAAGTGCTGCAGAGCGAATTCAACCGTGGCTATAGGTGGTCAACCAAAAGGCTGATCCAGTGTAACTTGGCGAAGTGCAAAGTTGTTAACATACACGACCAGCCTACCCATGAATATCTATTAGGGAACCAGCAGTTGCAACCTGCTTCCCAGGAAACTGATCTCTTAATAATTGTGCAGGTGAATCCTGGCCGCTCGAATCAGCCCGAAAAGGCATGGGAAAGGGCGATTCAACAAATGTGCCTCATACAGAAGGTTTCCAGTACATTCGATCCAGCAGTCTTTCCGCAAATGCTGAACGCCTATGTGAGGTGTTAACGCTATGTGCTAGCCAAGCCTGGTGTTTCTAACGCAAGTAAGATGTTGTGACGCTACAATAAGCAACTTATTGGGTGATTTCGCTTCTACTAACTCGGACTGCAAGCCCTTTGACTGTGCATCGGTGAATATCGGCATGTGGGTGGATACCTCATCATAGCACACCTAGTAATGACGAACTCAAAGCACATCTGTCGCAATTTGTTGCAAGTCAGCCGAAGTAATAACTTGAGAGGCCGCCTGCTCAAACTGGCCACAGACTACAGTCGAAAAGATTGCTTGCTAAATGTCTTCTTCATGTGGGTGTCCCGAGCATAGAATGCCGATTGAACTCACAGCATGTCGCCCCTACATTAACGCGTTTGTTAACATGCTTTCCTTGTTTGAGTTACGTGAAATAGTCCGTTGCATTCGCGGGGGGAAATAACAAAATAGCAAACAGTGTGCTCCATGGTTTTCGCCGTAAGGCAGCGATGGGCAAACTTTCACCTGTGTTTTGTGGATAGTTTTGTGAGTCAGCTAAAACCCAGAAAACATTGCCTTTCTTCTTGTCATTTTCAACTTCGGCTATGTAATCCTCACTCCGGTCATCACACGGAACCCCCTCAAGTAGCCACCTATCTACTCCTTACAAATCATAGCTCCTGTTTAATTGACCAACGGCGAAGTTGCGGTCAATCAGAATGGGTCTGGTTAGCTCTTCAATGTGAAATCTAATCAACTAGTTAAAAAGTTTAAGCATCTTAGTATATCTCCTGTTTGCACTAGGTCTAAAGATATACGCCATGCTCTACTCCCATTCGTTGTCACACAGCTTAGCATTAATAACTCAAGATTATAACCAATTATTAAAAATACACGTTGCTTGCAGAATGCTTCATTCTTTTCTTCGGTGTTTCTCTTATGTGGGCTGCACGACGATATACTCATCCGCTTCTTCTCGCTCACATATCTTTCTGCTGAAGTTCCCAGAACCTGGCATAGTGGTTCACGCTGCTGCTTTGCAAACCACAGGTTTAGCCTCGAGCCGACATTTGTGTGGCGTCCTCGAAATATCCACAAACTACTACCGGATGTCGCACGGTTGCTAAATGTCAACAAGAGGCACCGGTGCGTCATTGAGGTCTTCGAAACCGGGCACGAGTTTTAGTGACATCCCCAACATTCTTTGTAGCGGTAATGATATCACCAGCCAGCACTCCCGACTTAGTTTGGTACACAAAAGCAACACACTACGCCTATCCAATATCAACTATGACTATCTTAATGCAAGCTTATTTACACAGTTATAAATTTTATACTTTAAAGTAACCTCTGAGCTTTTGACTAACGTCTAGCTCTGTGACATGCGGTAATGCTCGGATTATAGCATGTCAGTCCTACTGGTACGCCTGGTCTTGTGCCGTCGGAAGGTGAACTGTCGCCCATTGATGCCATACTGGTTTCAGATGATTGCGAAAACCATTGGTCATTCCGTTCGCCGAGCTGTGTGTCTAATAAACTGGTCCGTTTGGAGATCGATGTATGTCGACGTGTGATCAAAAGAACCGCTTAACTGCCTTGTAATCCGGAGGTTCAGACCCACGTTGTTGCGGGTAATCTCGCAGTGTACTAAACCCATGGGAGACTGTGGATGGTCTCGTGGCTGCGAAGCGTCGGTGCACTGTACCGCTGTACTAATGATGTGGTTTTACTTTTTACCAAGGTGTACGTTCGCACGAAAGGAAACCTGCACACTTTAGTAGTTTTAATGGATGAATAAGTGTGATAGTTATTAGCAAACCAGCTGCAAATTAGTTCGAATGGTCTTCCGACGCCGATATTCCACGAGGTCGTGCTATTGAAACTTGGCCGTCTGTTTTTGTCAAACAATTTGGTGTCATATCTGTTGGAGTCGAGCTGTCCTTACTCACATCGATACAATGTATCGTCGCGACTATGATGGAAGCTTTATTGGGTTCGTTGACCACAGCAAACTCGGTGATGGTCTGATACTTGCTGGCCTGTTGATATTCCGTTTGTGCTTTAGTCAGCACTACAACTTGGTCCCAGTTATAAAGAAATATTAAGCCAGTCATTTTAACCATATTGTGAACTGTTTTGGATAGTCTTGAAGGTCTTCGTTAATGGAGTGGTTTCTTCGCTCCACGTATAACTTGAACTCTGTCAGGTACCAATTCACAACCACCTAACTCACATCGTAGCCAAGCAACCTCGATTTAGATGACAAAATGGTCATTAGGAATCAAAATGATACCCTTGGATGCGGGAGGATTCCTTTAGTGAGTGGAACCAAGCACGGGAATAAAAACGTTTACTTATTTTCTGACACCAGACGGAGTTTCGTTGTTTGACTGGTTCTTCCACTCCCCTTCAGGTCAAGTCAGGCCAACGAAAGCTTTATGCACCCAGATGAATGCATTTTCAGCATTTTACACTATCTACCACAAATGTGATATAAACATCATCAACAAAGATGAGAAGTTTACACTTTTAAAAACAGAGTAGGTAAAGTGTGCACAGATATCACTTAAGTAGAAAGTCCCGAATCCTTGTGCAGCGGACGCACATTAATCGAACGAATTATAAGATTATTACGGTAGACGAGGCCAACATTTGTTAAAATGTTTATTGATAGTTCATTTCAATTGGATAAAAGCAGCAAACCGCGAGTTTTGCATGATGTTTCGGATACTGTTTCAAAGAATCGGTGGAGTTAAGCGACTTCAGTGAGGTTAAAATTGTCCTGCCAAAGCATTCGTCAAAAGGTTTAAATAAAATTGATATATCTGCAGTAAATACAGCAAAAACGACGTTTTGGAGGAGAGCGGCAACAGCCAATTTAAAGGTCCCACCATAAAACCACTCCCACTTTTAACAAACCGACGGGCCAATGGAGGAACCAGTGTAAACTTGGTGTATGCGAACATCAGTTTTACTGGTGGTTACCCAAGCATGTGCCATTATTCAGAAGAAGAAGCATGGGTCGAAATCCATGGAGTTATATTTAACCTGAATTTTGTTAGCATGCCGATAGTTGATCACCGCCCGCAGGTCAATATATTGCATGTTTATTGTTGGAAACCTGTGTTCAGTTTAAGTGGGTGGAGACCTAATTAGGCGGAGAGTGTTGTTTTGCTGTAACACGTAAACGCTTTCAGTTACTCTTATCTATTCCGCCCCACTTAGTATCGCTTGTCTTATGAGTTTCAACTGGACATGCTCACATTGCGAGTGAACGCGATCAAAGAGAGCCATCCGGTGCAGTATAACAGGAGCGAATACATTGAGGTGAGTAATTACATTTTTCAGAAAGAAGATTTCATGCATTCATGAGAACCAATCACATATAGTTTATAACCCGTTAGTTTTGCTTCCAGAGCAGTGTTTTGAGGATATGGAGGAAATTTCAGGTGCTTTTATGAGCGTTAACACTAACTTTTCGCGTCCTACACTGTGACTACATGTTGTCACCTCCATCTCCCTCCGTTATTTGCTTAGACCCGTAAAACACATTTGTGCTATCCATCGGATGATCGGGTAGTTAAGGAATGCTAACCTGCTAACCATACATAAATTTGTGGGCCTACTGTACAAAGCCGCCAATCTCTGACCACTTTCTCAATAATGTTTAGTCCATTAAGAACATTTGTTTGATATTTCCGATGCGATTAGTTTTTCCAAAATATCATATGCATCAACAACAGCATTACACCAGCCATTTGCACCGATGCTCAATTGTTGGAAGAGGTACACAAACCGTCGCAATACTTTAAGGTCCAGTCTGGCTGCGACGTTCGGCAACATAGTACTTCCATTTTTGTCTTAACCTAATTCCTGATTGCGTTGTTCTCTTTATGGACTCGTTCTAACATATGATCTAACTGTTGAATTAGTTAAGACAAGCTTGGATTGGGCAAAATATCTCAAAACAATAATAACCAGTTGCTTTGCTGAAAGCCCGGGCACAAAGGTTGATGTTTTGCGTTAATTCAATATATTAAACCTCATTTAAAAAGGGTCCCTAAAAGTGCTAGCAAAATATGAGTTAAGAGTAGATTCCACCTGACTACTGGCTAAGTCACACACACTAGGGGTCTTTTCGCTGCCTGTTATCATTCCAGTAGTAAGCTTCCAAAGTTTATGGTCAAGATTTGTTCTCCTGGTTTGGAGATATTTTGTGTCATGCGTGCGTGTCTTACATTGTATTGCAATATGTCTTGAAATAATTTTTTCGCTTTTCCTCTCCCGTCGGCGAATTGAAGGAAAGTATCCCAGGGGAACGTTTTTCAGGCAATATGTATGCAAATGTGAACCTGTCATCTACAATCCACTAAGCTAAGGTTCGGCGTTATAACTTTCTTGGTCACAAGTACTCTTATAAAGATATTAACTTACTTATCTTTTGGGGATGGATAGCGGTATTTCACTGTGTTCAAAATAACATCAAGTTAACTAAGTTCCACTGATGGAGTCCGCTGCATTTCAGTTTCTTAACTAATATCTATTACAAAAGAAATTTCGTCTCCTCATCTGGACTGACCAACTAAAATGGAGAGTTGTTCTCATACTGTCCTTACCGGGTATAGAATGCCGCACTAGCTTAGGAGCCCTACAGAAAAGCAGTGTTGTTTCTGACTGATGTTGGGTTTGGTAGTAAGAGTGTGGCGCCAAGGTAGCGACATTTTGAGCAAAATTTTGGCAGCTTGATTTGTGTTTAGCCAAATCGGATCCACACCAGAAATGACAAATATGGCTTGACAAAACAACGACAGTACCATCGCTAGATATGAATATGAAGCGGCATAACGCTGACAGCATAAACGTGGCTATTATGAGCGATGTGGAAGGAACGTTCATCGGGAGGATTATGTGCTTAAAACTATTAGTCTCCTTAATAATTTGAATAAGACATAAAGAAGATGAACACTGGTAGGTGCGCGTACTTCCTATCATCTCGTCAGTATCATAATGAGAAAAGAAATAGAACCAAAATACATAGCAGAAGGGTGTCAGTTGACTAATCACGTGCACCAAGGCGGACGGGGGCTATAACTCTAAGATCAAGGCAGTCGAAAATGGTCAACGACCAACTTTTGCACAAATAATCGGTCTCATTCGGTTTAGTATCTCGGCCTCGATGAATCGCGAAAACCGCAAACTAGAATGACGCAATAGAATCCAGAATGCTGTTATATGATTAACCCGATGATAGGACACCCAAATCTGTCTGCCTATTGATGACGCTGGTTGTTTACGTAAGCTCGGAGCACTAGAGGTGAGTTGATTGACCTCAAGTTGGATCCAGTTACGCAGGTGTTCCTTCTCTCTGGAATTCAAAACCCTCTCGGTTCTACCCATGTAACTGACCCCGCAGTCACATCTAACTTGGTAAACGCACTGAGGTTTGGCACCGATGGTTTCCTCTTGATTGACTGAAGCTAACAGCATGGTCTGGGTTCTGCTACTTACGACAACATCAGCGGCGTAATAGGTTCTCTGAATTGTAGAGACTAAACGCTTGGTCTTCCTCCTGTTGTTGATCCACATGAGCGGCAATAGCTACAAGCGTTCAAAAACGATCGTCTGTGTTCACAAATTGTCTTAGTTGCGCGGTACTCTGCACCCAACTTAAAGCAATTCAGAAAAACCGGGGATAATGGTAATAGTTACAATTGTTGTGGTCGCAGAACCCGGGCCTTCAGAAACATGCGGTTTATTTGAAAATGCACTCATCGCAACTGACAGCATTACTTGCCTGTAGAAGCCTCGATGTATATGGTTAGGCGGCTTTCATCACCAACTAAGCTTCTGCATTCATGTATTTCTTACTTTGCTTTTGCAAAGCAAACGCACTATAATGCATCTAGATACCCGTCATTCAGCGTAGACGAGTATACGTCCAATAATCTGCTCCGATCATTTGTGGCAATGTAGCCACTTGCTTCGTCAAGTAACTCCGTCCAGTTCTTCTGATTCGCCCTTCCATCACAGTACTCGTAACCCTAAAACTCACGTAAACTATGAGTTGGGCAGAAGCATGCCGACCAAACAGGTCCTATTCCAGATATCCATCATCTTCCCGTGCAATTCGCTTGATGCGTTGAACATTAGAGACATGCATTTAACGCCCTAGCTTTAGAGCACCTGCGTTCTGCCTTGTCTTGTGGAAAGTACAAATTACACCTGTACGCTGCAGTTTCCAATCGTCCTTGACCCAGCCTTTTCGTTACCGTTTTGTATATTCGTGCATCTGACAGTTAATGGCAGCCGTCCCTTTTTTGAATGGGTCTAATTTACGTAAGCCCATCTTTCGCAATCAATTACAAAGGCGAACTCATCTTTCGTTAAAAAGATACTATACATTACACTACGTATTTCTAATGTTCCATGCAGGTACATCGCAAATTTGCTCAAATTTGCTACCAGCGGTTGTGTGAAGCAATGAAGAACGGCGTTTCTAACGAGGCAGCGCATGTCGGTTGTGTTACACTGTGGAATCTCTGTCTTCCGCTCATGAATAAACCAAAACAATCAGATGGCATACTACTCAAAAGTTTGCAACTCATTTCCGACACTCTGGATAAAAGTAAAAGGTGCACTTGAATTTAAATATCCAGTAACACGCTGAACTGGTCACTTTGTTATGATGCTGCTCTATAGTAGTCTAAAATATTCTTGAGGTTTATCTACGGAGTGGAAGTCGAGCAGTTACTAGCCGTTGCATCATCCAAAAACTTGATAATACTTGGTATATTGGCTGTTGAACTGTTCGATGAGCTTGGCAATTTTGTTGCAAACGTTTCGTCACCAATCAAGGTGACATCATCAGTGCGTAGTTGAGTGGCGTGTAATAACGTAGAGTAGCGTAGTGGAGCCTCGCAGCGAGGCTTGCAGTTAAAATGCAGGGACGCTTGACTTATTGTCTTGCTGAGCGGCCCCCTAACCCTACACTCGAAAACGACCACTACCTAGCGGCTGCCTTAAAATGCAGTTTACAACAAAAGTGCACTCACATACTTATAATGAGTGATTTCAACGTACATTGTGTAGAAACTCCTGCCACGGTCAGAGAACAATTCAAAACCGATTTACAAGATCTAGTAACTACTGTTCCTCTTTACAACCACATCACTTTGCCCACTCGGTGCAGAACAGGTAACAGGCCATCTATGCTGGATCTTGTGCTTACCAAGGAGCAGCATATGATTAATGTGCTGGTTTTAGACTGCTCGTTGGGTCACAACGATCACGCAGTCATCAGTTTCAACTTCGTCTGTTTCGCATAATACCCGAATGAGATCGATGAGACTGTGCGAACCATCAGAAGCTACGATCGATCAGTCAGTCTCGTCAGCGCTACAACTTGGTCGTTCCTTGAGGAAGAACCCCCGGAAGTCGCCTGGCTCGAGTTCGTCAACAAATTTAGCCAGCTGATTGCAGAGGCTTCAGAAATAAGAGTTTGCAATAACCGCAATTCAGTTTCTTTAGCTAGGAGCAGAACTCGAAAACGGATGACAGTACGTAACGCAGCATGGCGTGTGTACAGAGAAGCTCCAGTACCAGAAGATTGAACAAATACTTAACCCAATATAACCAATGCACTGCACCCAAATGCTAAGAGAATACAAAAGCGCCTATCAGCAGAACCTAACAAAACCCTTCAGTGCTAACCACAAACTGCTGTACAAGCACGTCAATGGCCTACCAAATATGAGGCAAGGATTTTCGCCACGCAGGACGGCTGATAGACCAACAAGAACGAATGTAAAACCGGCACACGCACTGCAGATGCAATATGCCGCCAAGCTTCAAAGGGTCTTGCCACTAAGCAACCTTCCAAGTTGTCTCGTCGCCTCGCCAGGACTAACCCACATCAGTTTTATCGTGGACGTTTTACTGCAACAGCTGACGTCTCTACGCAAACACACCTCGCCGGGTATCGACAACATTCATCAAGAGGCACTGGAAAGCAGCAGCAAGCCAAATGATAGGGCATTTAGCGCAGCTTTTCCAACGCTACTTAGACCAGAACCAAGTTCCCTCCATGTGGATGCTTTGAATAATAGCCCCGGTTCACAAAGATGGATACAGAAGTGATGCCTCCAACTACCGCCGAGTATCCATTCTTCCTATACTCTTCAGATTCATGGAATCCATATTTGCCGATGCACTGGTGTACTATCTGGAAAACTGTAACATCAGCACGTCTGAGCAGCACGGTTTCCGTCGACAGCGGTCATGTACAACGAAGTTACTAATTGCACTCAGTAGTTGGACCGAGGCAGCTAACGCTGGAGAAGGCGCTGACTTGATATACCTGGATTTTTCCAAGGCTTTCGATCGGCTAGACCATCGGATACTACTATCCAAGCTGCAGCATCACGGGATCGGAGACCCTCTTTTAAGTTGCATCGCCAACTTTCTACTTCAACGGCAATAAGTGGTCAGAGTTTGGAGCTCTTTATCGGACCCCATACAAGTCGAGTGTGTTGCGCCTCAAGGCTTAGTCCTAGGTTCAAGTTTGTTTTCGGTGTTTATTACTGATCTTGCACAGGGAATCGCTTCAAACTTCCTCATGCTTGTGGACGATATCAAGATCTGGCGAAGGATCCAGGCGAACGCCGACCAACATGTGCTTCAGAGTGAACTAGATACGGTGTATCAATGGTCAACTCAAAACTTACGGCATTTCTACCTCAGCGAATGCAAGGTGCTTTCCTTCCGACATCTGGCAACTACTCATACCGGCTCGGAACGAACATACTGCAACGATCAACTCTCGAACGTGACTTGGGTGTCCTTGTTCAAGTTGAGTTTGGATGCTCTAGGCAATCCGAAGAGGTCTCGAAGACTGGGAACCCACACATCTGGCTTTTGCGACGGGCGTTTGGACATATAGCTCCATATTTCGACAAATGCTCAGTTCGGACGTTAGCTCCATACCGAATCCGCAATTTAAGTTTGGCATCCATGGCTGAAACACGACCTTAATGCACTGGAGCAGCCACAACCTCGAGCATCTAAAAACGTAATTGGCATACGCAATCACTCATACCAAGAGAGGCTGCAACGATTGGGGGTATTCAGTGGAGGCTATCGCAAACTCCAAGGCGACCTGATTATGGCATACTTGATTCTGTGAGACCCAGATTATGTGTACCGCACTTTACTCTAACTCAGCAGCAATACAAACCTGAGGGACCACTTACTGAAACTCACTGTACAGTATAGCCGTCTGGAGTGCCGCAGAAATTTCCTTTCAATTCGTGTCTGTCACCCGTGGAATGCTCTCCCGGAATCGGTCGACATCGTACCAACCCTAACAGTATTTAAAAGACGGTTGGATGATGCATTTTGTCACTTAGCACGACGTCTCCATCACACACCTGGATTTTACCAGGGAATTATTTGCTGTTAACTGTGGGCGCTGTGAATCAAAGCGGATCGCAGGACTACAGCAGAGCAAACGATAAGTCCCTGTTTTTATATTTAAAGTACTAACTGTTTTACTATCATTATGTTATGTCCCTATCCCCACCAACTATCCAACGGTACTTGTAAAAAGACGCTTCTTAACCCGTATAAATGCATTGATTATTTAGTGTTCATTGTTCAATGCTTCTGTTTGTCGTACTATCAGTCGTCGGTGCACTGCGGGCGATTTTCCAAAAATTTAGGGGAGGCACTTACTTATAGCAGAAACTTTAACGACACTGAGCACAACTTTATTGGGGTAACAATGACGTGGGGTTAAATGGAATCCCTTGAGATGACAGGGAAGCCGAAGAAATTCAAAATTCTCGGGAAATGCAGGAAACAAGAGTGGCATGTAATTTTCGCTGATTCTTCCAACTTATCAATGATGTTTGGTAGGTGTGCGAGGTCGATGAAGAATAACACTGACACTCGGAATCAAGTAAGCGAATGTCGTCTGACACTTTTATGGTCAGCACAGTAGATCTCATTGTTCTCAAGTGCTTATTGCTAGGCAGGCAAAGACGGAATCATTTCCCATTAACTTAGAAGCTACAATCAGTCGAAACAGCGAAATGTAGTCACAGATATCGACCGCGCTGCTGAACCCAATTCTCTGACGCTTTGGCTTTTACAGACGATGCTAAAGTCATTCTGTGGGACAGCATTTATTTTGGAATAGACATGGTAAAAAGAATTCATCTCAGTCAGCTGGAAAGCCCGTTACCTCCAGCATGGATCGTGCGTCTCCCCCCCCGGCGGAGCACTTCTTTTCCGGGTGTGTACCGACCTTGATGAGTACAGCCCCTGTCGAAGGAAACAGCCTTGAAAATATACGAAAGTACCTGACTAGTCTTTAAGGGACTAAACTTGTCAGGTCTGATGGAATCCACTCTCTGCTCATAAGTTCAGTACCGACCATTATTTCGCCTTCCCTGATTGAGCTTTTCAGCAATTCGCTGTCCTCAGATTTATTACTGGGTGCATGGAAATGTTGTGTCGGTAAGCCAATACCGAAAGGCAGCCACCGAAACAATCTGGACAACTACCGCCTGATCTGTTTAACCGCTGTCTTGCCCAAGATAATTGAGAAGATCGAGAAGCAGGGTCTACAGCAGCTTCTTTAGTCAAAAAGCTACTTGACGCCAGCACAGCATGGTTTCGTGAAAGGTCGCTCATGCGTCACCTGAAGAGGCACGAATGCGTGCAAGCGCTGAAGCAGGGGAAGTCGGTCGACGTCACATACATTCACTTCAGTAAAGTGGTTGACTAGGTGAACTATGAGGTCCTGCTCCACAGACCGGGAGTGTGTGGTGTTGGCGGTTGGCTGCATCAAAGGGCCAGCAATTTTCTTTGTCGGTTGCCAAAAATATGAGCGACTGGTATGCATTCACCAGTGAAATTTCCCAAGGTAAAGGGCCCTTTTTTCCTGATCCATAAAAGTGATGTGCCTCAAATTGGAGGTTTGGTTCGTGTGTTGTTTGTAGATAACTTGAATACATCGAGAGTTAATGTGCGCCCGATGACTGTAACCTGCATCATCGTGACCCAGATCACTTCTCCAAGTGATCTGCAGTGGTTAACCTTCGAATAAAGGCGGGCAATTCGAAATTCATGAGCCTAAGCTGAGGTCGACAAGGTCAAACCTCCTTCACTATGATGGGGTCGCTTTCCAAGTCTGTATTGAACGGGAAGTAATGGATAAAGGGAACAACTTGCCGTTGTACGTGGTCGATGCAAAGGCGCTGCCGGAACTGAACAGATACCTGGACAAGCACCTTGCAGACAGGAACTCAGAAATAAAATCTAAGATAATAGATTGCTGTGCCTGAAGGATTTTTTATGCAGCTCCACAAAGGTAACGCTTCTTGCAGCTTCCATATAGTATTCAGTAACTAAATCAAGGACAATATGGAGAGAGGGAAAACATGAACCCTATGCATCAATAACAGATTCATCACCTTTATGTCGGTTACTTATGATTTCTATATTTTAGTCTAAAAAATTCTTGCTAAACCGGAATCCATAAAATATGAAGCTAAAACAGACTTTCAACACGAGCGACGCGGTGCAGATCTCATCTTGAAGTTTCTGTAGGGAATGAAATATCGGTGCATGTGCCAGAAGCCAACTTAAACTTATGCATTTGTTGAGGAGGAGAAAGATTAAGCAAATACAGAGAGCCAAGGGTGTAGCGAAGTAGATAAAGCGCTTTCTCCAGTATGAACTGCCCATGAACACTTAACTTTTGTTTTTGCGGATGATGGTCCATACAGTACTTGGTAACTGTGGTACAGGAAATTGCAAACCCTCGATCCATAGTGTGTCTGAAAGAAAAAGTGAACTTGTCTACCCAGTTCATTAAGCTGCTGAAACTTACTTTATATTCCACCCGGGCACATTTGCTTTATTAACCCGTTCATGATCACTTAAGTACTTTTCATTTACCACGCTGGAGCAAGCACCCAAAACTTTTCCTTTGGTAACAAAGCAACAGTAGTATTACTCAGCTTGTGACCAAACAAACTTGTGATGTTCGTGCACTAACCAATCCACCTGTCACCTGATCTTTCAACTCTTCAACCACCTTCTTAACGAAGGGATTTTGATTTACTATTTCGAGCTGCAATGAATTTCGCCGAAGAAAGGTGATAAAAGGTGTCATATTTCAGTGCACATTTATTTATTGTTGTATATACTGAACTGTTGATTTGTAAACTTGCTGTCTACTGGATCCAATCCAGTGCATGCTGCCCCCAAATCCCACTTTCAAATGAATGAGCAATGAGCGTCTAACTGAACCTGTTTGTTTTGCATTCCAATCAGCAATTGATCCGTTTAATTCTACTTTCCCAGTGGACTGCTAATCTCTGACCGATTGTTTTTCTTCTTTTCATTAGTCTGCATTATCGTCTCCACTGTCAAACACACTGGGTGCTGGCTCAGTGTTTGGCCGAGGTCGAGCGCACTCCACAGGCCCTCATGCATTTAGAGAAGGTAAGTTGGTCGATGCATGTTTCATAAAGCGATTTATGTTTTTTCCGGGCGGTGGTACATCTGGTGTGTAGCAATAATCACACCGCTCTTGTAACGTTATACGTGTACTGGGGTACATGCCGTATGTGTCAGTGGAACTTACAGCCGTAATGCGCAGCGCGTCAACAGTTCAAAGGCACTTTGGGGCAGTACAGTGGAGCGGAGGACATAATTCACTCCAAGAGTATTAAAGATATGCAACTAATGAGACTGGTAAAAGTGCAAATACATGCCCATAATACCCTGGTTTCTTGACCAAACTCTTCACTGCGAATGCTCCAGGACTAATAGTGAACTTCTAACTGATGTGTCAAGCGCTGCTCTTGGAACACTGGTTTATGACTAAGACGAAAGCCGTCAGGCACTGTATCGGGTTTCACTCCTAGACCTGGCTATCTCTACCTGACGTGTCCAACTCGGGAGGAAACCGGTCGTTCGTGGAGTGCAGGAATGGGTGGGGGGGGGGGGGGAACAACGTTCAACTTGGATGCGGTCCCAGCGCTCATATTAACAGAGGCTGACTTCATAGACAGCTGTGGCCAAAATTGAGATTGCTTGTCGCCATCCAAGACACACGGTGAGTATATCAACCACTAACCTTCAACTACTAATCGCTATGTCAAGTTGTGCTCGGACATCATAGCGATAGCCGCCAACCACTATGTGCCGAACTGCAGTCCCAATGCAGAATATCTCTAGCTGACCACTCCAAGAGCTCGAAACCCTTGGTCCTGCAGTGAGTAGAGATTGGAGAGAACACGAAAACCCTCCATTTCGGATACAGTTCCAGTCATCGGAATGGTACAGGCTGACTTCGAAGTCAGACGTGGCGTGGAGTTCTGCATAGCTACCCTAAGACACATTATATGAAACAACTTCTTTGAATGCTCCGTGCTGGAAATATCAGAACCAAGACTTGGTCATCTGCCTATCTGCTAGATGAACGCAGGGTGACGACGGTAAAAAAGTCGCTCACGTGATGTAAGAAAATAAAATGAGTTGTTTCTATGCGAATAAATATACGTAGGATAACTTCATGCACGAACTAACTGGAACTCCACCATCCATCAGTGAACAAGTCCGGGCACCATATAGTTTGATTTATTTAATTGAAGGATTCATTACAAATCAATCGTTGTGTGAATGAATCTCAATGCGCAGTCTCAATGAGAATCACGATTTACTCTCACATGAGCCTCAAGGCGTCAAGTCAAAATAGGCTTATGCATCTGGGCAGACACATTTTCAGCATTTAACACTATTACTGCGAATGGAGAAGTACATGAGATTAATTACTAAAGACAACTAAATTGAATACTGCAATGTATTTGTACCTCACTTAAGCAAACAAATACGCAACATGCTGATGGGTTTCGTTGAGTCCACATAATTGACGCTGGTGCTCCTGTGTTATTCGGAATAATCATCTCCTTCTTCTCTTTATATTCTCGCAGCGTACTCACCGTACGCTCATTCGAACCGGGTTTATCCGAGCTACAGAGTGATTCATTATAGGTGGAATTATCTTTTGCCATTAAAGCCCTAACAATCACAAACGGATTTAACTGTTGTCCGTGATTGAACACAAGCGAATAACTCATTCTCTTTGCGCCCATTGCCCTTCTATGTAACCCCACTCGGTACATACTTGTCGAGAGAGTACGAAAGGCCTAAGCGTATTCCAATCCGGTGTTTATTAGCGTAGCTGTGAAGGAATTCGTGACCTCTAAATCTGTGTTCAGCGGTGTCTAGATTCATTTACTAGGTCTCATATCAGCTGGTCTTAACGTCATGCAATCAAGCGACCAACACTGAAACGTGTGTTAACTAGGGAGCACTGAGTGTGAATTATGTGCTAAAGTGGTGAAGTTGGGACAGTGTGCAGCATATGCTTTTAATCCTATCACACTAAGTGCCTTGGGATGGGATCTATAAAAACTAGACGTACAAAAGCACGGCAGAGTCGTTTTGGTTCTGCTAAGTATGCAGCGCTATTCCATTTGTTAGCTGGTTAACTGTGCTACTGAAGTGTGCAAGACTAACAGAAGCAGTCGGACAACTGGTGAGCGCATGGTTGCACCAATGGGGCGAAACAGATCTTCAGTTGTGTGTGAAAAAACAACGGATTTCCCATTCAGGTCAGGGAAGATAGCCAGGCGTCCAAAGCTTACTTCAACTTCTCAGTCTCCACTAGTACCAACTACCTACTCTCTCTCACACACAATTAAAAACAATGCATGCAGGGTGCTTGTTTAAAGTTCTCTACAGTGTATTGCACTTAGTAGTTTGTTCACTATACAGGAGACCCAGCTAACATATGCATCGGTTGTCGCCAAATACACACCGGAAAGAGCACCGGTAACCTTGGTGGCAGGACTAGAGAAAACTGAAATGTCGCAGGACGGATGACCTCCATCAGTGCCGTTCACAAATTCACCAAAAGCACGGGAAACTATGGCTTCAAAACCAATAGCCACCAGGCGCAACCATGGTGCTGAAACTGTTTGTGTACTAATGTCCCTGAATCAAAATCCAATACAATTAAGGGTAGGCTGACAGATGATCGAAATCAATGGAGTTCCGTCTGTACGGCGATCGGTGTCCATGCCGATCCTACGACGGTAAAGCGCAACTCGTGTCACCCAAACGCACTGCACTACGGTGAACCTTGGTTACTTCGGGTAACACTAAACTCTGTGGATGAGACAGTGGCCGTTCTGCTATCTGTGCATCGACTCGGCAACGCATCAAGTGGGGGTGCGCGTACTATCTGGAATGCCGTGAACAGAACGTTCAGCGGATTCCACTGACAAAGATAGGGAAAGAAATAGTCAAACTAAGAAAGCTGCGATTGCTCACGGGGTTCCTGAGCTTACAGATTCCTCTTCCGACGACACACAAATACAAGACCAGGAGTAATGACACTACATCCATGAGGCTCCACTCAAATACGTCGTCCCCACCTCGTTGACAGCTATCCCCGTGACACTGAACCACAAGGGGTCTTCCAACCAGAACTAAAGACACGAACTCTTCTAGAGCACTGGACTAAATTCCGTAGCAGGGTGTTAACAGAAATTCGTCTGAAAGCAGCAGGAACACAACCACCTTCTAATGACAACCTATTGGGAGCGTAAATCTCAATGAAAACACCAACTGCATGACCCGACTTGGTGACGATTTCAACAGTAGCTATAAAATCCGAAAGGACACAGCAGAGCAAGAGCGACCACCGGGATCCAAGGCGTCTGATATTGACTATATGCGAAACTCGTCTCGAGAGTCTGCAACCAATCCAAAGAACGATTGGCCGCCGACTTTTCATCAGTCGGCGTAAAATCACTGGCTTCATCCATCATATCTAACACACTTTTAGTTTTCGAGAAGCTTTCATGCTTGTACACAAATGTCCAAGGTCTACTCAGCAAATTAGCTGAATTAAGATTTCGACACGCGTCAGCAGCTTGGGACCTCAGAACTATCACCGAAACATGGTTGCGCAGTGAGGTTACGGATGCCGAAACCACACTAACAGGTATGTCTGTTGTCTGGAATGATCCAGCAAGCATAGGTGGTGATGCAGCTTACGGCTGAGATGGAACGACCTTGGCCTAGTGGATGTTGTTTAGCGCCCACCATCGGCCACACCTGATATGGACTGCAACTGGGTGGCTGCGTTGAGGCAAGTGATAAACAGGAAGTAGAGTCGCTTTCTAGTTGCTGGCTGTTTCAACCTACATGCTCTGAAACCTCAGGTCACACCAGGAGAGAAATTCAAATTAGACCTGCGAGATCTTGTCCCAGACATTCCGCTTTATGGCCACGTCACTTCGCCCAGCACATTCAGCGGAAATAACAGGACACCTATATTGGACCGGATATTCACTAATGATGAACTGATGATCGAGTGAGTGATAATGGATACTTCGCTAGGCCGCAGTGATCATGCGACTTTGCATTTCATGTACACTTGCTACGCTGCATACTTCGAGGACGGAACTCAAACGACGCGAACTATAACCAGACATGACACCTTAAGCCGACTCGTCCAAGTGACCGACCGGAGGTTGTAAACCGAGGATGTACCGGACATTGCCTGGAAATGTTTCGTCAGTAATTTTAACATCTTGGTTAATGAGGCATCGGTAACCAAGACTAAATTTGAGAAACGGCGTCGTTTATACGGAGTAGGATACGCAAATGCATGGTGATGCGCAACGCGACGTGGTATACCCACAAAATTGATCCGAGGTCGGGTAACTGGAAGGCCTATCTTGTCCACCGTAACCACTGTACCCAATTAGTGCGCGAGGACAAAGGAGCTTATCAACAAGTCCTAGCCGAGTGATTAACTGCAAATCCTAAGCTTCAGTACAAGCACGTGAACAGCCTCCATAAGGTGAAAAGTGGGCTTCCCCCACTTCATACAGCGGATGATCTAACTCGGGCTGCTAAAAAATTGTTTAAGATTATGCAACAACTATATGCATCAACGTTTCGCAGCATTCCGTGGTTTTCTAAAGCATCGGAGAACTGCTCCGACAGGATCACTGTAACCGGCAAGTTTGCAATTTGCTGTTCTTCCCTGTTTCCTATCGACATTTTCGCCTTTATTTTTGTGTACCTCTAATCGATCATCCGATCTGACGTGTCAAGCATCGGTGACTATTTCCGCAATATACCTTTGCACACTGACCATTGACAATTGATCGTGATAACTACAATAGGATAGAATTGTGGTAAGACGCCACATTAGAATAAAGTATACTTAGTTTGGAGCTTGTAAAAGAAACTGCTAGCACTTTCAACCTATCTACATGCAGTAGATGAAAAGGGTCATTAAAAACTTTGAAGTAAAAGCTAGTACAATGCGTCTACCTGAGTGATAAAACGGAAATCAACGATTGCATCTCTAGACAGTTCATTGCATGTAGAAATAAGTGTTAATGAACGCATGACAA